TTTTTGTCTTATAAAGAAATTAGAGAATCAGTCAGTACCGAAAATTGAAGACCGATCAATATTTAATTTATTTATCAAATTAACGCGGATAAATGAACGATTCGTATAATTTTCTTTTCTTACAGAGAAATGAAAGAGTAAATCAGTACCGAAAATCGAATATCGATCAATACCGTAAATCAGTGTCAGAAAATTGTCCAAGTATAATGACAATTTGTTCTTATTTTTAAGGTATTTATCCCTCTAATTTACTCAACAAATTAACTCGAATAAACGAATGACTCGTATCAATTTTTTGTCTTATAAAGAAATGAGAGAATAAATCAGTACCGAAAATTGAAGACCGATCAATATTTAATTTATTCATCAAATTAACGCGGATAAATGAACGAGTCGTATTAATTTTTTTTTCTTGTAGAGAAATGAATGAGTAAATCAGTACCGAAAATCGAATATCGATCAATACCATAAATCAGTGTCAGAAGATTGTCCAAGTGCAATGACAATTCGTTCTCATTTTTCAGGTATTTACTTCTACAAGTTAGGATTTGATGAAAACAAGTCTTTCCCGAGTCGAAATATTAATTCTACATTAATCCTGCAAATTGCAACCAATTTGAAAAATCAATGCAGAATATCTATATGCGCAATAGTGAACATGCTTTGTCCTACCTGAACGTTATATCTGGCTACTCTCGCAGTCTCGCCCATGATGAGTCTTCAACAGCGACGTATTCCGCAGTTATTTAACACTCGTTTATCTCGATAATGTATATGTACTTAATCCTTATATTCTTAATTAATAAATGAGCAATTTTTGTTGATGTTGATTATATATTCGCTTAACAGCGCAAGAAAGAGAACAAAGATAAAAACGTAAATAGAACTGCCTTTGTTAGAACTGCGCGTGAGATAAATATATAAGGATTAAATAATCATATAAGAATTAGAGGGAATGGGGAGATGAAAAACACTTTTTATTCTCATCATTCTTAAAGTTCTTTTTTCCTTTTTTCTTCTCTTTTTTTTCTTTTCTTTTTTCTAATGAGAATGATGAGAATTGTAGCTCTCAAAAGAGCTGAAGCTGCAAAGGCAAAGACAACGGTTATGTCTAATAATGCTGTTTCACTAATAGAGATTTTATTTTTAATTCAGATTCGGTACAACAAGAAAGATAAACAAGGATAAGAAACGGACATTCCAGCAAATTCTAAACGAAAACAGCAATCTGAGCATTATTAGACGAATAAAAATCAACACTTGTAAAATTTATATCACATTCTAAGATCATTATTCATAGTTTTCTAAATTATGTGCAATTTTTCATTGAGAACATAATTACAAATTTGTATTCATAAACCTTAGCTTGCCTCAGCAACCTTGCTTGAATAGACATTCATATTTTATGAGAAAAGAAAAATAGAACTCATGTTACGTGAAATTAGGTTAATCAAATCTCAAGCTATTTTATCATTGTTCAGATGATGAACTATGAATGCTGATCTAATTTCGACTCGGGTATGTCCTTACTTCGAGTAAGGTCCGTTAAAATCAGAAAAATCCTGCGTAATAATAATGAGTCGAGATACCTCGAATACCATACATGATGTATCGCTGTCCACGTCTCTCGGCGCGCTCCAAGACCTCTCTCCATCCTGACTTCTCGATCCGACGTCCTCCTGCTTACTCCGGCGCAGCACCCCCGGATACTTCATCGTAGCACTGGCGACGACACTGACTCTAGCTCTAACACTCGCGCAAGTAAGATTCGGGGACAAAGAAACGCGTATTAACCGCGATACGACTACCGACACTCGTACTCTGCGTCGCGGTATGCGCGTCGTTCGTCGGCTCGAGGCGCAATGTCCTTTCCGCGATCACGGAGTCATATATAAGCGTACGAAACCAAACAATCGGGAAGGCACGGTTATCCCCCACCAGTCGCTGACCTCACCGATCAGTGTTGATGTCTGCGTCGTCCGTTAGCTGAAAATGAAAGCAACTCGTGTTTTCAAAGCATGCCTGTGAGAGACTCGCTTCAAACTTTACAATACTTGTTTACGTCTGTTCCAAGAATCATATTACGCCGAATTCAAACTGTCTCTATTGACATGACATACACGAGATCTGCGATCGCATCATTGATCTTTCTTTGGACAAGAAAATCCTGAGAGGAACGATGTTCGAGAATATCGCATTTTATGTTTCAGATGCTTTGCAGATGATCGAATCCGATGTAACAGATCAGGGAAAGTATAAATGCGTCGCTATGAATAACACGCGTGGGCACGGAGTACTCCAAGTCAATCACGTTATACGTGAAACGTATGTATATTTAATATTATATAAAACTTACCTTTTTAAACAAAAAGGTAAAAAAAAGGCGCCAAGTACAAGCGCAACACGTATTGTGTTATTTTTAGAAGCATCAAACTCAAATTATTTTATTTATTGTATATATGTGTACATAAGTTTTTACAAGTAAAACTTATAACTATAATAAAACTCTGCAACACTTTTCTACTGTACAAAAGAAGTGATATATCAGAACAGTAGCGCCAACTGAGAAACCTAACATATATATATGATTATTGTATACTTAACTTAATATTTTTAGAAATCTTAAATTCAAATTATTTTCTTTTTTAAGATATATATTATGTACATAACATAAGTCTTTATAATATATGTACATAAACTTTTAAAAGTAAAAATTATATCGTGTTATAAAAATTTGACACGTTTGTTAATAGTGTCCAATACTAAAAAAAAATATCTTTTTAAATATTATGTACATAACATAAGTTTTTATAAGTAAACCTTATCAAATTATTTTTTTTGTAAGATATATATGTACATAAACTTTTAAAAGTAAAAATTATATCGTGTTATAAAAATTTAACACGTTTGTTAATAGTGTCCAATATTTAAAAAAAAGTATCTTTTTAAAGGTTATGTTATTCAAAATATTCAAGAAAACCTAGCTATAAAAAATGTCCATAACATAAATTTTTACAAGTAAAATTTATCATTATTTATTAGAACACTGAGTTATATGGTTATTTTACTTGTTGTTGTAACAAATTAATTATTATAACATTGCAATAAAAAATATTACATACAAAAAATTTTGGCGCGGCTGCACCAAAAACTATATCGAACTAAAATTTGTTTAATACATGTATGACAGCATTTTTATTATAATATATTCTACATAAGGTTTATAATTTATTTATTATAATACTATATAAACTTACACAAAACATTATATCGTATATATATAAAGAGAATTTACAAGAACATTTTATTATAATAAAAATGCTGTCATGTATGTATTAATCAAGGTTTAGTTCGATATAGTTTTTTAAAGTCAAATTAGATATCATTGACATTTCGTTAGTTATAATAAGAATAACATGTTTGAATAAAAAAATTTCAAAATATGTAGAATATATACACATTCGATATGTATATTCTATAGTGAAGGTTTATCATTTATTATAATACTATATAAACTTAAATAAAACATTACACCGTACATATATATATAGAGAGAATTTACATGTACATTTTATTATAATTATATAATATTATAATTCGAATTTATTATTATTATATATACGAGAGTAATTGCAGATTCATAAAGTGTCTATGATTACTAGTCGGATGATGACAGCCGATCTTGAATGCCGAGCGCGAAATTCCGACTTCTTATTCCCGGAAAATTCGTCAAACGTCAAACGAAGGGCAAAAAGTGTCGCGAGCCGATCAACACAATCGGCGCGATGTAAACATTGCGGGCTTCGGCGGCGGTTGAAGCAAGAGAGACTTGCCCTTGGGCATCTTTTCTTTTCTCGAATGGCATTAGAGATAGTAAATATGGTTGCAGCACGGATATAAACCGCCTGAAAGTGGATGTAGCACGGACTTCCACCACATGCAGATTTTACCACCAAGACCTAAAAGTGAATGTAGCATCGTAGTTCTCTCAAAATGGAATGCAGATGGCGCCCATTTCCAGTGCGAAAAATCGGTGTCACCGAAAACGCTGTGTTGGCCGCTCTCAGCTTCCTCTCTGGTGGTATTATCTCGTCAGTGCTTGGCGGCACAATTAGTTCGAAGATCTTCGTTTCGCGGCGCTGCTGTTTTCACCGAGGAAGTGTTTTACGACTCCTATAGAATCCAATGATTTATTTCTCGCTCTTTCATGTCCAACCATCCAATTACAAATATGTAATGATAATTAAATCAAGAAGCATTCTGAAGCTAGTAATCTTTAGTTTTCAGTTATATCAAGAATATAATGTTGCAGTTGTTTATTGTCGACATGTGTGAAGTCAAATGAAAAGTAGCAGTCATTTAATACTCTATTTCATCGTTTAGTTGATTTTTATATCAAAATATTTTTATAAAAAACATATTTGCGGTTTAAAGAGAAAATTTTAAGCTTTCCATCCGTTTTCTAACAAGTGTCGTACATTAATTCTTTTATCTCCTAAGCTCCTAAGCTCCTAAGCGTATAAATTCGAAAGGACAGTTTTCGCTTCAACGTCAAATAACTCGGTTAAAAGAAATCGCACTATAATCTGCGAGTATGAAAATTAAAGAAGAATAAGATTCAAGCTTTTAAATGGTGCAAATGTAATTTTTTGTTTACGCGGTGCAAATCTACAAATTTTCTGAAAGATTTTGGCACTTGTCAAACTTTTATTTATATTTACGTAGCGCTATAAAAAATTAAATTAAATGAAATAGATTCATAAATTTGGCTTACTTTATAGCGTATACAGCTACTAAAAATATAATAAATGCAACTGACACCCTAAATCTTTACTTATTATTCTGCTTTCTGGTGTATATGTTAATGTCCCATTACGGTCACCATCTTAATAATAATTTTCTTCAGTTGTCCGGAACAAATAAATCGGTTTTTTGAAGGGCGACGGATTTTACGCTCCTGGGGACGTGCGTAGAACGAGGCGTGCATCGGCACTCCCGTTATCGATCAGTCGCGTGGTAGCGGTGGTAGCCCGTCGTGTCATGGAGGATCTCCTGCTGCAGATCGTCAGGGAGTCGAACAATGCGAGGCTACAAAATCTACGAAAATCGGCGCAGGAGGCGCACGGTGAGTACACGTTGCATCGTCGACAGTTCGCTTCATTATTATTGCTTTTTCAATCAGACATTTTACGCGCGAAACGCGCTTTCGGCCTGCGGTTTCCTCTTCCTGAAGACGTCAAGCCTCAGACACGATTGCGCATTTAAGTCACAAGTGCGTGTCACTTGGCTCGACGGTGTTCCCGAAATTTCGCCGTCCAGGAATCGGACACGGGTTTCGCTGCAGATGTATAACAATGACGCCGCATAATAATGACGTTAACGTAATTATGCGCTTGACATTGACGGGATTAACGCGCCGCTTCGTTATACGCCGGAAATGAATGTTCTTCGCGGCTCGCCGTTCCTCGAGGACTGTCCCTCCTCTATTAAGGCGGATGCGATTGTTCTTTCTTGCAGATTTTCTGGAGAAGCAGCAGGGCTTGCTGCGGGATCCGCCTCACGAACTGCGCGCCAAATGCTTACACACGTTTCAGCTAGCACTGGAAACCAACAGGAGCAAGTTCGTCGCCTTCGGGCTCTCGGGATTGCACGTGAGTGAAGAGAGAGAGAGAGAGAGAGAAAAATAGAAATAAAAATAAATCTTCTCGTGGCGGGAAGCCTCGTCCCACTTGCGAGCAAATCGCGAACGCGCCGCGAGCTTCACGAAAACCGTTCGCGCTTGTTCGGAACTTTATCTTCAAACCGTCTTTCCCTCTACGTGTGTTGGTCGCTATCGGTGTGGCCGCTTGTGGAAACGTATGTTCCGGAAATGTGTGCGATAAAGCGAGAGATACTAGCGAACAGCTGCGACAGTTTAAGCCGCATTGTCGGTGTCAGGAGGCGACTTTTAATGAATGCCGATCGAAACGCGGGAGTAACTGCTCCCCTCGTCGAGATAATTCATCCGTGCTCTCCACGAAGCTGAAATATTTTACGCGACGACGCGCGCCAATCATGACGACGGCGACGACGACGACGACGACGACGACGACGACGACGACGACGATCAAGCTTGATTTGTTTAACATTAGTTAATTTCAGTTAGGACGTTACACGCGTCGGGAAGATAAATTGCAGGCTAATCGATTCAGGTTAATCTGATTCGATTCGCAGAAGATGCTGAGGGACGACAGGTTCCAGTCGCCTTACGAACCCGAGGACGACTCGCTCTGGCTGCCCGCGCAGATGCTGCACGCCATGAGCTCCATCGTCTCGCAATCCGACGACACGCAGACGGACATGCTGAAAGTGAGTGTCACCAAGTCGAATGATTTCCGCCGATTCGGGGCGAGCGCTAAACGCGACGGTCAGAGGCACGGAGACGGAGAGCATACAATTAATAAAATTAATCGAATAATTAATGCAGAAATCGCGTTTGGCGCTTGCTGTAAGATTACGAGCGCAGGAAACGTATCGACGATATCGCTCGTCTCGTCTCGTTCGTTTTCTCCTTCAGGTCCTGCTGCAAGTCGCCTGCTCCTCTTACTGGACCATGAACGGCCGCCTGATCATCGCTATACTGACCACGTGCTGCGAGGCCTTCGAGAATGGGAATCAGGCAGTACGGACGGCCGCACAGGCGGCGACCAGCCAGACCTTGCGGTCGTTTTGTCTCTTTCTAGGTAATCGCGGAAACCCTGGCGCGGGGAATCAGAGAATGAAAGAGAGAGAGAGAGAGAGAGAGAGAGAGAAAATAATAGAAAGCACCGTGGTCGCGATGCGACGACGACGGCGACGGCGGCGCGAGCTTCCGCGGTATGTCAAAATGTTTGGTCGATAAATTACGAGATCGCGTGCGAGAAGTGGTGGGATGAGGGTTCGAAGAGAATCTGCCATCGACGAGGCGTGCCGCCCTAACGACCGGCGCTCGCTGCACCACGTCGCCGAACGCATCGCCAATGTGTGTGTGTGTGTGTGTGTGTGTATGTGGCATCTCAATACGTCATTCATTGTCCGACGGCTGTTTGCTTGTTGCTCGCAGACGAGGAGTGCCAGGAGATGGACGAGAACGCCAAGCGGAACAAGAACGTGCGCGAGAGAGGCGTGTCGTGCTTCAACGAGGCCTTGCCGATCCTGCAGTACATCTGCAGCAAGCTGGACGAGGCACAGAAGTAAATAACATGCAACATATCGAGCGACGTACACGTCGCACGATTAATCTGAATCTTGTCCCGCGATCTTTAGGAAATCCTGTTCTAGCAATGGTAGAAACGGCAACACCGTGGTCTTCCTGCTGGAGTGCCTGCACACGCTCATCTCCTCTTTGCCGCAGAAGATCCACACCAACGCGCACTTCACCACCTTCCTGTGGCAGAAGTTCTGCCCGGCCTTGATAGCCTTCCTCGGCACGCCGCGGGTCGACAAGACATTTACCTCGCGGGAGGGCAAGGAGAACGAGGTCGGCAGAGGCTCCGGCTACTTGGCCACGTCCTTGAGTTTCGACAGTCACCAGGCTAAGACCGTTTACAGGTAAACGGTTTGACGGGAATCCTGCTCGGCAGATCCGGAAAAATTCGCAGGGAATTCGGTCAATGTTCTATGTCGGAGACACTTCAAGTAGCGTTTAATAATCACGAAATTTGCACACAATATTCAGGTAATACTAAAACGCCCTGATATCGTCTTGAACGGAGAGATCCACGATCCACGTTTTCTGATACTTGCGAATTTGTCACACTGGATCAGTAAGTCTTGTTGCATCGAGCTTGTTTTAAAGAAAGTATTCCCGCACGTAGCGGAAAGCATCTCAAAATCATGTTGGATATGCTCAGGCGAGCATCCTGAGCGACATTCTCATTCCTTCGGAATGATCCTGAAGTTTCTTGCATCGTCTGAGTGACAGTCGACCAATATGGTAATTTTGGCTCAATGTCTTTCAGCATCGGCACGGAATTGGTGAGACTAGTAGGATGCGTTGGCCCGCTGCGGCCGGTCTTGGAGTCGGTGTTCCACAGGATGCTGCTGTACCCGCCGCCGCAGCAACGTCTGGAGCCTCTGAAGGCGTTGAAGGAGCTGCTGCGCAGTCCTAGCCGCATGGTCGATTTCGCCGGACCCCTGCTGGTGGAGGAAGACCGCTCGAGCCACATACAGAGTGACATGGCACTGATGAGACTGTGAGTCACAGCAGATAGATTTACAGTCTGACGATGAAATGCGCTGCTCGACACCTCGGTGCGTGTCACGCTTTCTTGCTTTCAGCGCTATGGACTCGATCGAGGAATCAACGGCCGGCGGGTTGGCTATACTGCACGCGAGTGTCTTCTGCGTTGTCGCCATGCTGTCGGCGCTTCAGGAACTTTGCGAGGGCAAGGCCATTAATCACAATTACACGTGCACGATCAATAGCTTGTACGAGGACCTGGAATCTTGCGACTACCGCGGACCTTTGACCTACCAGAGCATGGCGCGGCTGCCAAAAACATATAGGTGAGCGTAACAACGCGCAGATATATGCGTCGCTGCGCAGAGAGACGGTTTAATCGATTCAGCTTCGAAGGTTGCTTTGGGTGAGAAAACAAATTGCGAGAGCGTTTTCGTTTTGCTTGTACCGAGCCGTTTTCGCGGCCTCTCTCATGTAATCTTCTCGCTCCAACTCCTCCTCCTCCTCCTCCTGATATCTTGCGATATCTCGTGCGAATCTGTTCATCAGGGAGCAATTGGAGTTAATGAAGAAGGGCATGGGCTCGGATTCCGACTCGTCCGGGCACGGGCCGTCGGAAGACGGCGACTCGACGGACACCGAGGGGCCGCAAAACGAGTCGGACGAGGTGCAGGAGGAGAACAGCCTCGACGACAACGATTGCACGATGGAGAACGAGTGCGAGAGGCTGAGACTGAGGAAATTGCCCAAGTGTCTTCACGTGGGACGGCAGGTGGCTGACGAGTGCAACGTGGATGTGGAGCGGCACAACGCCAGGCGGTTCGTGAGGACACTCAGGTCCGATCTCATACCGATGGCGCTCACCCTGAGGAGCAACATAGAGGTGGACGAGGCGCTGCAGAATTTCGCTTCCGAATATTGTCAAGGTAATGCGAGCGTAAACGCTCGGTACGTACTGATAGGAACGAAGAGTCTCCAAAGAATCGTTAGTACGAGATAACGAGATAGTACTATACGAGGATATTTCTGTTTTCAATTTTTAATTTTTATTCCAGGGGTGTTCGCGGCTCAGCAGAAAATGCAGGAGCAAAGCGACGCCAGCACAGATTCGTGCGCGTTAATCACAATCATGAACGCCGACGGGATTTATCTGGCGACGTACGCGGCGCTGCTTCTGAATCTGAAGCTGATCCGCATCAATTATTACCACGAGGAGGCCCGGCAGGTGCCAGTCAGCGAGGTAGGTCTGACCGGAAAGAAAAAAGAAAAAAAAACAGAGAAACCATTCGATCTCGATTCACTTCCACGCGCTCATCTTCGCATCTCGCTTTCAAGGAGCAATTTGTGGAGGAGGTGCACGGATCGGGAGTGCTGGTTTATCTCTCGGCCACGTGGCTCTCTGAATTGTATCAACAAGTGCTCGCGTGCAATTTGCTGGAGAGGTGTGGCTACAATCCCAGCTCCACGGAGAACAACGCGTTGGTCAACGTCCTCACGGGTACGCGCGGCTCGGTTCACATTTCACCGCGCGGACATACATCTCGATCGAATGAACGTAAAATAAATTCATCTTGCGAAATGAGTTTCTTCGTGGTACATAACATGATTGCTAAGATTAACAAGAGTTTCGGGATACGGTTAAATCCTTGAGTTCTCGCGATTCGCAGACGTGGACGGCATACCCGGCAGCCAAAGAGGCGGACAATTGCTCTCCGATTACATCAGACTGGAACGAGCGCAGCTTTCACGAAGCGAGCCGACTCCGGAAGCGGAGGCTGGCGCGAAACTCTCCAGGAGAGTGCTGACTTGTTGCTGGGGCAGCATGATGACGGTCCTCTCGACGGGGCTGAATCCTCCCAAGGAGGACACCAACAAAGGCATCCTCAACAGAGACGGCAGCAGAAGAGGAATTCGGGACACGGTCGTCTTGGCGCTTGAGGGTCTTCATAAAGCCGCGACGTTGAGCAACATACTCGGTACACAGGCATACATTTTCCTTCCTTTCGCAAGCTTCCATCCATCTTTCCATTTCACCTCATCCTTCAAATCATCTCTCGAATCGTCTTCTTTTTCCAATCATACTTCGGGGTTTCAGGTCTGCAGAACCGCTGCGGCTCCATCTTCGCCCTTCTCGCCAAGGCCGCCTGCACGGAGCAGTCCATCTCGAGGATAACCCGTAAGAAGGACGTTCTCCGGCTGAAACTGCAGAACAGGGCGACTAATATCCACACGTCTCACGCGCTCAGCATGGACGTGCTCCTGGGGAGAGGCTTGGAGCTCGGCAGCCACGGTAGTGACTGTTGGCCGCACGTTTTCACGTAAGTCGTTCTCGAGAGGTCGTCAAAGATACAACAATACATTACTGCCTGCGTAACAATAATAATGTGCGTTTGATGAAAGATGTTGCCTGTACGTGAGCAAGCTGGAGCACGATTTCTTCGGCAAGAACCAAAACCCGTCGCTGCCCAAAGCTCAGCAGAAGAAGGAGAAGAAGGACTCGGCGAACGGCGACGCCAGAAATGGTCAAGATAGGCTTCGATTGAACTTCAATATCGTCGATGACGAGGAATCTTGGTACGAATTTTATTAGTTTCGCCCTTTCTCAATCGCGCTTTACGCGATCGTTTCGAAATTTATGAAGGATGAAAAATTCTGGTATTCTGCTAGAGGTAGCTCTCAACCTTCTCGATTTCCTCTTTCGCAGCGTGGACGTTTACAGCTTCCTTTCGAGCCCTTACACGCAGAACCCCAGCTCGGACACGATCCCGGAGATTATCCAGGAGTCGAACGCCGACAGTCAGTTCAACGGCATTCTGCCGGCGGACTACGCGGCCAAAATCATATGCGTGTTGTCGCAGCAAGTGGACAGGCTCTTCGAGGACGCGGCGCTCAAGCTGAATCTGAGAGCGCTCTGCTCGTTCCTCACGGCCCTCTGCAAGGCCAGCAAAGCGCAATTGTTCAAGACCACCGACGGTTGCAAAGACAATAAGAGATTCTGGTGGAGGAGAAGTAAACCGAGGGAGAACGAGATGAACGTGCTGCTGCTGGCTCGCTTGGGCGAAGTTATGCTGAAGTGTGTGAAGAGCGGCAGACCTCTGATTCATATAATGGGGGTGAGCTGAGAAATTTTCGGACGATCTTGCAATTTACGAATGCTGTACTTGGCAACAATAGTCAAAGTCGCGCAATCTTCTCAAATTTCGAGGCTCTCTGTCTCTCACATTTCCAGATTAATTTGATCCGGCCACGACCGGAAGAGCCCCTACATTTTTACCGATCAATCATCCGGTCTCTCCTCTTCTATCCTCCTTCCGAGTTTACTTGCGTCACATAACGAGTTCACTTGCTTCGTCCACCCGCAGGTGTGGAGCATCTTGGGACCACACTTTATGGAAGCGGCTTGCCACGAGGATCGCAGCATCTCGAAGAAAGCGGTCCAATGCATCCACGACTCCATGGCGGCCTTGTTGAACGAGCAGATAGAGCTCCCGCACTTCCACTTCAACGAGGCGCTCTTCAAGCCCTTTGAGAACCTGCTGTGTCTCGAGCTCTGCGACAGCGACGTGCAGGATCAAGTGAGTGCTCGACCGCACTCACGACGCGATCACCGCGATGATTTGACTCACTTCTTGCTCTTCCGCTCAGATCGTCAGCTGCATCTGCGAGTTCGTCGAGACGAATCGCACCGAGATCCGCTCGGGCTGGCGGCCGCTCTTCGGCGCGCTGCGAGTCGCGTCGGTCGGCAACTCGGATTCCGTGGAGTCCGCGCCGCTGCTGGAGGTCTTCCGCGTGTTCCTCTCCACGGACAACACGCTGGTCTTCGCCAACGCCGCCCTCGATTGCATCCTGTGCCTGCTGAGGCACGTGAGAGGTATCGGCGACAACGACGGCCAGCCTGATGAGCAGGAGCAGGTGAACATCGATAGCGCGGAGTCGCGGCGGATGCGGCTCTGCGTGGAGAGCCTCAAGTACTTGCTGAGCTGCAGCGACATCCTCTCGTCGATGTACCGGATGCCGGCGTGCCCGATCTTCCACTCGGCCCAGCGGATCCACGTGTCGACGATCCCGCAGTACGTGGACCCGATCATCCCGAACCTCGAGCTCACCAGATTCGACAAGCACATCGAGACCATGCAGGAGGTCATCCCGGAGCGTTCGTACGACGTGCTGACGCCGTTGATCGACAAGGACGCGCACTCCATCGCCACGTTGCAGAGTATGGACAAGCCCAGCGGTATCCTCCGGGTATGGTACATCCTGATCGAAGGCTTGGCCAGCGCGACGATGATCTGTCCGAGGCGTTACCAACCGCACACCCTGGAGACCTTGTTCCACCTGCTGCGCGACACCCTCAACGTACCGGGGCCAGCGTTCGGCCTGTACTGCGTGAACCACCTGCTGTTGCCGATGGTGCAGAACTGGCTGAGGAAAACGTCCAAGATCTTCCGCGGATGGGACAACTTCGCGCCCAACTTCAAGCAGTGCTGCGGCCTCACGACCGATCTCGTGGTGGATTACCTGACGCACTTGCAAGGTAAACAGCGACAGAGAGTCGCTCTCCCGATAAGCTTCTAAGGCACGAAGACAAGGCGGCGCGCGAATTATAATCGCGATAGAGATTGCTAACCGCCGCTCCGTTTCTGTGCGACTGCCGACAGGCCCGGAGGTCGCGAGGAACGACGCTTATTTGCCGGCCACGACGCTGATGTTGAAACAGCTGTTACTGGTGATGGCGGAATGCGTGGTTCAGCCCACGGAGAGCATAGCTCGTCTCGGTTGCGCTTGCATCAGGTGAGTCGCCGTCGGACGTCTCCGACTCGCGACGCGTAAAAGCCGTTTTATAGCGATTCGCGACCTTCGTTAATATTCGCGCGGTTTCGCGCGACGCAGCGCATCTCCGTGAAGCGCATGAGAAATCAACGTACGATCGCTGCAGTGGCCGAGGAAAAGACAGAGGAGCCTAGGAGGATTAGGGAATGCCGACGACGGTGCTCCTCCCGGCGGCTCCTCAACTGCTGCCGATCGGAACGTTGCGCGTAAGCGACTACTTGCCGAGTCGTCGTCGTCGATTTCGCCATTCAATTAGGACAGCTGGGTGATAAAACGACGCGACGAGACGAGACGAGACGAGACGAGACGAGACGAGCGGTGTCCCTTGCGCAACGGCGTCGTTTGCCGCGAACATTCTGCGCCGACATGGCCCCGGCGGCATCGCCGATGTGCAGTTTCGGGGGCGAATCGGCGCGGCCGGGTCCGGCGGAATGCGCGTCGCCGCGGACGTCGGGTGTATCGTCGTTACGAGCGTGCGTGTAAGACGATAACGAAGCTTGACAGGCTGTCCGGTGGGATAAAGTAGCCACCGACACTCGACACCCTCCGGGCGTCATGCCAGCGACTGCACACGCTGCCCCGCCGTGTCGCGTCGAGTCGCGTCGCGCTTGGAGTCCACCTGGAGTCATCGGGCCGCATTTTCTCCGTATTAATGCGTGTATACTGCGCGTATACACGCACGCACGCAGCGCGGCCCCGCCGCGCCGCGCCCGCGCCGGTCCGTAACCCGATCCCGGATCGCTCGGTGTCGATCGCGAGGTATCGATGTACACGTGTACGCCCGGGACTTTAAAAACGGAGGAGCAGGTTCGCGTACGCGGACACAATACGCCGCCGAATGGCCGGCCGAACACACGGTGCCCCGATCTGAAATCCTAGAGTCACCCGGTGGAGTCACCGGCAACCCACTTCTCGCAGCGTGCGATCCGGCAGATCGGGTGATGGCGTGCTCGCCTCGATCTAGGAGCGCGCGTGCGACGCGAGGCAGGCCGAAGAGAGAGAGAGAGAGAGAGAGAGAGAGAGAGTGTGTGTGTGAGAGAGAGAGAGAGAGAGAGAGAGAGCCGGTAGATAGATCACGGCGACACACGGTAGCGCGAGACATCCGATTACTGTCAGTCGCTTGGGCCGCCGTGTGAGTCGGTGAGATTGACGACGACGACGACGACGACGACAGAAACCGAAGAATGACGTCCCGTCGGTCTGACTGGTCGCTCCCGGCACGCTGTCCTTGTCGATTAGAGGCAAGGAACAAACAAATTGCGCATACGGGGAAAGATCGATGCACACGGAGGAGGATTTCCTCGGAATCTCCTCGTGTGTCGAGAACGTTCGTCATCATTTTGATCGACTTCCACGCGGAAGTGGAAGTCCCGGGAGCGGGGGGAGGGGGGGGGGAGGGGAGAGAGTACGCACCATCGAGTAGTCGGAGTCACCAGCAGGAGAGTGTGAATCCGTGTTTGACAGGCACATACTGGTGAGCAGCGGGCCGCTCCTCACCCCCGAACAATGGGAGGTCTGCGGTGTCGCGTGCTACCGCGCCTGCTCCAACTCGCTCCAGGAGCTGCACCAGCTGACCATGGCTTTCTCGCCCAGATCGGAATCCTTTTACGGGGACGTCGCCCAAGTGAAGGTCGCGGCGCGCCGGGACGCGACGCCGGAAGAATCGGAACGGCTGCGACAGCTCGCCGCACAAGTAAGTAATCCGAGATTCATTTGCGAGAGCTGGCGAACGGGCCAGGACCGACTCTCCGTTTCTGGTTGTTGTACGTTCGATGTGCTTTGTCGATGTGCTCCTCGTGTAGCCATGAGATCTCGATAGACGAATCTTCGGAGCGTACAGAGTCCGTCTTGAGTTCGAGAGCGTGAGAGCGAGAGTGAGTGAGAGAGAGAGAGAGAGAGAGAGAGAGAGAGTCCATCTCTGCATTCGTCGTCACTCATGCATCACGATATCGAGATATCATCTTCTCCATCAAGGGCTTGAATGGCCCGACACATTCATATCCTTCGCTGAACGTTAAACGCGACCGTTCTCGCTAATCGCCTCGGTGCGAGTCAAAGCTGCGAAACTCGAACTCGAACGGTCGCGTTTGGCGTTACGCTCGACGCACGAGTGTCTGTGTTTTCACGTCTCCTCCTTCATTTAGAACTCAGATTCACAATCGACAGCTTAATATTCCATCACCTCGACCGCTCTATCATCTATATCCGAAACTAGAAGAGTTCCCTTCGCAATGATCATCTCCTTGTCATCTGATAGATACCGTACGGTGTGTTGTTGTTGGCGACGTAGCGAGTGCGAGAGCACTCGATGTGTCGCGTTGCGCGTGCACGTGCGAGAAAGAGTGCGAGAGAGAGAGAGAGAGAGAGAGAGAGAGAGAGAGAGAGAGAGAGAGAGAGAGAGAGAGAGAGAGATAGAGATACAGGGACACCACGTGGTGCCCTCCTGACCTGACTTGCTCTCAGGTGAGCCAGCTGCGCGAGGTATTGACTGCCATCAAGAGGCAGAGCGCGGCGTCACTGCCGACGACGCCTTTCCAGGATTCGATGACCATTGAGACGACACTGATCGACCAGCACACTACCTCCTACCCCGTCGGTTGTAGGCAGCACACGACACCCCCCGATTACACTAACACTACGACGAACACGGGCCCCCAATGGCTCTAGCCGACCACGGTAACTCACGTCATGGATTTTAAGAACAATCAAACCGAAAGAAACCTTACTTAATTATTTATATACCGCATCGTTCCACCATTTCGAGCGATTTTGCGAGAGAAGATACCAAAAAAAAAAAAAGAAAAAAAAAACAAAAAAAAGAAAAAGAATATAGACACGTAAACGTGGATACAGCCTGTGTCCGGCCGCGCGTTCGCGGCCGGGACGAGCGCGGCTCGCAGTGATTCACAGAGTCCGCGGAGACGTGCCATCGTGTCGTCGTCGACAGGCCAGGTTTCAAATGCTCGTTTTTCACTTACAATCGGGATTACGATTACGATTGCCGTTCTCAGCCTGAGAGAATATTTTTGCATACCCAGCGATCTCGCCTTACATATATTATACGTACACATGTGACAAAAGGAAAAAAATATATGTATATATATTTTTTTTTATATCGAGCACAAGTACTTTGTATCCCCCCCACCCGCTGAATATGTTACATTGACGCAAGCATAATCGACCGATCGCTTTCGATGTGTTCCCTATTAGCTTGTTCGATGTGGCTGATACCGGCGACGTGACACGGCAGAGAGAGAGAGAGAGAGAGAGAGAGAGAGGAGGAGGAGGAGGAAAATAGAATGAGAGAGGGTGTGAGAGAGAGGGAGAGAGTCAAAGTGTTTCTTATGTGTATTTTTGTACCGCTGAATGATTGTGTTCACAAATATATAGAGCTTCTATCATCAGAGCTGGTTGACTGTTCAATTGCCACCCTACACCTTGAATGACGAGGGGATCACTTTGAAATACCGCCTGTCGACGAGGAGACGCCGTTTGATTCGAGCCACCATGTTCTTTTTCTTTTAGACATTTGCACATGCTGGTAGAAGGCACGTGTTAGGTTGCAAAGGTGCTTTGACGAGGTCCTTTCTGCAAGTTCAACACGCGTTGACGTTGCCACGCGGCTACGTTCACGTCTAGTACTTTTGGCGCATGCAATTAAGGAGAGAAAAAAGAACAATTTCCACACAATATGGCATTTTCATTATCTTCCTGGTGCACACTGAACTTCTTCATAATTTAAAATAACAATATATATATACGATACACTAATATCGCTGTAATCTGTTTTGTGACTCGTCACGTTGCGCGGAATGCTATGGAAAAAAAGGACCTCGTCGCCGATTAAGAAAAATCATCTCAACTTTTCTTGGCACGGTCTTGCGAATCACCATTAAAATCCATGGCTTGGGTCCATGGCTAGAATTTCACTGTCACAATAACGTGTACGCAACGGTACACGACACCGTGTTATAGAGGCTGCAGCTTTCGTAGTGTGCACACATTATATTTCTCGACCGTGCAAAAAATGCAGATACGCGTTAGGCTGATTGACAGCGCGTAGCGATTACTACTATTGTAATTAAGATTATCCTCACGATCGGTTCACGACGATCGCTCAGCAGGCAGATATCGTCCGCTTGATGTGTCCTCGAGAAATATACATCTCCAGAGAGAGAGAGAGAGAGAGAGAGAGAGAGAGAGAGAGAGAGAGAGAGAGAGAGAGAGAGATAGAGAGAGAGAGAGAGAGAGAGAGAGAGAGAGAGAGAGAGAGAGAGAGAGAGAGAGAGAGAGAGAGAGAGAGAGATAGATAGATAGAGAGATAGAGAGAGAGAGAGAGAGAGAGAGAATATTCCAGCGACACGAGAATTGACTAGAAATAATCTTACTTGCAATCGAGATCTTTACAAAGACTTACACGACAATCGCTTCTGTATAGCTGCAAAGTACCCACTCACGGATATCTCGAGGAACTCTCGTCATATATACCTCATTCACCTTCTGACGTCCGTGTGAGAGCGACCCTCGGATCCCCTCATAATCCACGCTTCTGTCCTCAGGTGTTCCTCCTGGAGGAACAGACGCGCGTCGAGGATGCGTCGCGGCCGTCCGACGAGAGGTCGTACGTGTTCCTCTTGTACCCGCCCGCCGTAGGCACCACGCTCAATCCCGATCTCTACATCGTCAGGGTGCAGCTGCGCGCCTTGGTGGTCGGGCTGCTGGTCCACCAGATGCTGCTGCATTGCATCGCGAGCGTCCTTCTTCAGGGCGCTGGCGCCTCGATTTCAAGGTTTGCACGCGAATTTCGGTCCTCGCTCGAATAACGCAACGCGAATCGTCGTGCCGCGCGTTTCGCGTGATGTAACATCGTTGCTTCGTAACACGATAAAAATACCGAGCAAATCTTCCTGAGGCATAACCGGTCGCTCAATAATCCAATCAACTCACGATGAAATCATCAAATCAATCGGATGAATCAATAGTCACGAATCCCAGTGATCCCAGTTGAAAATAATTCACGTATAATTCCACGTCGATAAACTGAATCGGAAGCTGCGATCGTAACGGAAAACGGAAACGACGCTTTCCCGTAGCCTGTCTCACGTGATCCCGCATTCGACGCCGTGCAGCTCGCCCAATCCGGCCAAACGGGGCTACCTGTCGCACCTGAGCCCGCATCACGTGGAGATCTTCCTGTCCGCCTTGGACCTGTCCTACGTCGCCGCGCTCAAGTTCGACTGCCGGCCCGGCCTCAAGTTCCTCGTGCAGAAGGTGGCGAATCTCGAGCAACCGGCGAATCTGTATCGCCAGGCGGCCGCGGCCTGGACCATCAAGATCGTCACGCTGTTCGAGCTGTGCCTGCGCGAGGTCGAGGAACTGCACGCCACCTTGGACCTCGTGAAGACCATCTTGGGCACGGGTCTGAGCGACAGGGAGTGCGTCTACGACGTGAAGCACCGCAAGCTCACCAAGTACCTCCGGCAACTTCGCACGACCTTCGACGAGCTCTGCGAGACTTACGTCGAGGTGGTTCTTGACGCAGACGGCAAGTACACCAAGGTCGACAGTTTCTCGGAGAGGAAAATATTCCTGCTGGTGGCGCAGCCTGACGATTACCCCGAGATCACCAGGAAGGAGCCTATCGACGACCGGGGGGTCGTCACGAGCACTCCGGCGTCCGTCCTTCCGCCGTCCGAGGAGAATCGTGGCGTTCGCGAGGAACTTCGGCTGGACGACGAAGAGGAGCAGGACGATCAGGACGACGTCGACGTGTACAATCCGAACTTGGACGACGAGAGCGGCTTGGAGGAGCTCGGGGCTGAATGCGAGAACGACCCGAGACCCTTCAGGCTGTCGGATCTCGCCGCGGAATACTCCACCGACTCTGGTCCACAGTCTGAGCCGGAAACGACGGATGATTCCAGACCGGTGTCCAGGCTCGGATCGGTCACGGAGAAGATCGTTTATCCTGACCGCTCTGGCGGAACCTCGAGCGAGGGTTACATCGACCCGAAGTTCGAGTCCATGACTCCGGCGCCGCCCAAGATGATGTACAGTCGCGACGATCTCTGCTATAATCTGGACTCGCTGTGGAGGACGGAGTCAGTCGACACCTCGAGGACCTCCATGGCGGACGCAAAGGCGCTCGATCGAAACGCATTCTACGACCAAGATTTTTTCTACCGGAAGTCGTACCCGAGGAGACGCCGCAGTGACGTGATCCTGTCCCTGAGTGTCTTCAGGGCGGCGGATCTCGAGAGCACGGACAATTCTTCGATGTTCGACTCGGCGGACGTGCGATCGCGCTCGTTGATGGAACTGCGAAGCGCCTCCGCTTGGACGACGTCCGAACCCGCGGACGAGCCTCGTGAGCCCCCGGACGGTGTCAAGCCGCTGGAGGACAAGAAGAACTCCAAGTCCTCGCAGATCCTCGACAATATCGACGAGCTGCTGCGCGACTACGAGCGTAGCAAGCGCGGCTTTAGGACCAATCCGTTCTTACGCGAGGAGGAGGAGGAGGAGGAGAAACTTGCGAGCGAGAGTCAGCAGGCCGCCAGCCAGGAAGCCGAGTTCCAGAGGAGGAACGTTAACAAGGACAGCGAGGCCCACAGGAAAGCTTGGGCGGACACTTTGGGTACCGCGCTGGAATGGGCCTTGGCTCTACCGGTGAGTCCTTTTTGTATCTCATTCGACGTGCGTCGTGTAAGAAACAATCATCCGCGAAATGAATGACTTAAACATTTTCCTGAAATTACGAACGAGCTGCTTCTTCGGTTTGCAGTTTAGCGCTCCCAGAGCGCTCGTCAAAGATGCTTGAAATTGCGTGTACTAGTGCGAAAATTTATTTTAGTTGTATGATAAATCGAGTTTTGCAACTCGCCCGCTAAAACTGGATGACTCTCCTGCAGGACGAGCAATTGGCGCCCCTGCTTCCGGTACTCGTGAGCGGCGTGCGAATGCTGACCAGGCATGCCGTGGATCGTGGCCTGAAGCAACGTCTGTCGGCTCTGTTTCACCGTATCGCCGTGCTTTATGGATTGACAAATAATTAACAGCGATCGCGGGTATCGTCGAGCGCGCGACCGCAGCCTTAGTTGCGACTTGATCTTCGCGCGGACGAGCGAAGAGACGAGAAACAATTTGATATGCCCGACGTATTGTTTTCCAAGTTCTTAATTACTGCTGTGATGCGAATGTAAAGCCCGCGGGAGAGGAACGAAGAAGGGGAGAATTCATTGTTCACATACCGGTTATACATATTTTCTTCGCGATGCTCGACCGAGTCGGGACTGAGCGCGATTCTCTCTCTCGATTCGCGCTTGCGAGGAAAAAACGTGACGTCCCGTTTTCGCGCGCGCGCGCGCGCGCGGAACTCTTATTTTTTCCGCGCATGCCGACGCGTCGACACCAGGAGACAAGGATTTTATTTACGATCCACTCCGCACGCACATCTCTCGATTCTCATTTTATGCTCTTTGCACTTAACTGTAGTTTGCGGTCCGGTCGTAGTGCCGGGTGTACCGGATTTTTGCTTCCGACGCAAAGCTGGAGAGAACGCGCGGACGCGATGCGCCCCGCCGCCGCGCGACGTCGGGTCAGTTATCCTGGCGCGCACTTGCCAAAAAGGAAGGAGGGAAAGGACACGGTCTCTAGAAGTGAAAATTCGTTTTTTACGCAGCTTCCTTCGCGCTAGTGCAATAGGTCTCATCGCCGCCATTGACGACGGCGGGCCATTATTCTCTCTCGTAGACAAGAGGACGATAGTACGGAGGATCTCGGCGAGAAATTAGACGGGGATTATATTCCTTACGATTAGTGCTATATATTTTATTGTATATAACGAGTCCGCGATCCGTGCGTTTGTTCGCTTTCCTTTTTTTCTGGTTTGTAACACAGTAATGATTCACGTTGCGTTACGTTCCGTGTAGCTGGTGTTGCTCGTTGATTCAATTTAAATATTTCTCGTTCCCGTAAACGAAGAAGTAGAGATAATAACTGAACGTTGATGTATATATCAAATATTATATCTGATGTTTCCCGATATACGGTGCATTCCATAAATGTTGTAAATGTTGTTGAGCATCAGATGGTTTAAGAGTATAACGGAGGGATTAATAATTGATAATAAAACGTGCCTATGTACCCCCTGTTTTTCTCCCAAACAAATACGTCTATATATATATATTGTGTGTGTGTGTGTGTGTGTGTATGTGTGTGTGCGTGTGTGTGTATACATATATATGAGAAGTAGAATGAATGCGAATGCAATTCGGGGGATTCGTTTCTGCGTGGAGCAACGCGGCTGAGAAGCTGCGCGTCTACGACGAAGTCTACGAGAAATACACGGTATATATGGCAGTTCAAGTGACATGTAGCCGAGCTGAGATGTACGAACGTTAATAAATGAATTCTAATATCCGAGTATTATTTGGGGTGAGAGCGTTAGAGGGAGAGACGGCGAGGCGTATGTGTGAATTTATTCGAATCCCTCTTTCACGTCCTGATCTCGCAGTTTTCGTTAGTCGCACCAATTGTCTCACCCGCTCCGCCATGTCTTTCGTCGCCCAAGTGTTCGAGACCGAAGACCGCGATTTCGATTGAGGGCGGGAAAACCGCGCGCGATTTATTCTCACCGGCCATGCTCGGAGAGTACCGAAGATGTCGACCGTTTCCTGCGAGACGACGAAACGTATTTCAGTTAGTCTTAACGGACGCAGGAAAGGGCGGGAGACTCTCTCGTCTGCGGTCGACTGCGAGTCGAGTCATCCTCGTAAAGAGAGAAGCTTACGAGCGACGGCCGCCTCGGCTTATTCCGTGGTTTTATTCGTGGCGTCCCATTCGCAGGACGCGTCAGGGCTGTAAACATCCGCGGGAGAGGGACAAGTGGGAGAGAACAGCCGGGAGAGATCTCTCCTCGAAGTGTGAAGTCGTCGGCAGAATTTTTCGTCCGTCTTTCCGGTCGTTTATCCCCGAGAGAGCGAGATTCCGCACGTAACAGTTGGTCCACTCGATTCCGCCTCAACTATATAATACACGCGAGAGGAGCGGCGGAGGGGGAGATGCACGATACCGGCCGTTAATTTATGAACATTTTCATGTTCTTCAATGGACGGTAGAGTCGCGGCGAGGAGTTGCTTCGTAAACGCAGCGATACCGGCCAACTACAGTTACTCTCTAATTACGAGACGTCGCTGCTTCTCTCTTTGTCTCTTCGGCCACTTCTCCGCGCGGTACCTCGAGAGTCCCTTTCGTAGTTATTTATAGAAACAAATGATGCGATTATTAAAGAAGGAGGAGGAGGAGTGAGCGAGAGAGTCCCACTCGTAACTGGGAAGTAGACATTTCCAGCCTCTTATTATACGCCTTTGATTTCAGTTACGATTTACGGAGATTACTCCGTCGTTGGATACACATTGTCAAACGACAAGACCGCTCGCGCCCGCGCCAGGCGGCTTATTACATTCTTAGCCACGTGATAATTTCACCCTGACCTGTACGTTTAGACGGGTGTTCACTATGACTTCCTATTATTTCCTATCGAACACACGATTCTGTGCGTTCTCGTCGTGCCGTTATTGCGCCCGACGGATTGCTTAATATTCACGCATTGCAAGCGAGAGTCTAATAAATTACGAGAAAATTCCAAGGCAAACGGGGAAATTTGGGGAAGATCAATTGTTCATTCTTGGGATCCGCTGGATGTTATTCTTTGCCACGCTTGGCGTTCAAAGGGTGACTCGAGTTCAGCAATTGTTCCGATTGTACGATTTCGACGATTTAGTGTCAACTGTGATTTTCAGCAGATAAAATAAGCTGATTATTGCGCGAAGTGTAATATTGTGGGTAATTTCAACGGGACAGGTTTGAAGATCTCGTCGTCGCGGAGCAGGACAGGGTGACTCGCTAATAAAGGGACGCAGAAACGACGATGTCGCGACTGGCCAGACCGCAACTATCCATCCGTTCGTCATTTCCAGCGTGCTTTAAATATTAAATAGAGCTCGCTGCGCTCGTAAAAAGGGTTACTTGTTCCCTCACGGCGAAAGAGACAACGGTATTGTCACGGTCCTCTCTCATGACGCGAACAAAGATCTTTTTTCCGACCGGTGATGAGAGAAAGCAAAAATTTTATTTATTTATTCGTCGTGTCTTTCTCATATCAAGCTCAGCTTCGTGAGATATTTTGTTCGCTCAGTGTGCATTTTGTATGCGAGGGAAATAGTTTTTTTTTTGTTTTCCGAAATACGTCCTGTCATTTCCGAGGTTCGCGATAATTTTTTTTTCACCGTCAAACGTCAAGAGAGGAGGGACTTTGGGAACCTGTCAGGCAAGATTTTATTTCGTTTCTGAAAATATCTGTGTATTTACAACGTTACAGCATCTGACTAATTTTTTGTTTTCCGATCGAAAATCAAACGATGTTTTGACGATTCGATTTATTACAATTGCGAAACGGCACGAACGCCCGCCGTGTGACGATGCGCGCGCGAGAGAGAGAGAGAGAGAGAGAGAGAGAGAGAGAGAGAGAGAGAGAGAGAGAGAGAGAGAGAGAGAGAGAGAGAGAGAGAGAGAGAGAGAGAGAGAGAGAGAGAGAGAGAGGGAGAGGGAGAGGGAGAGGGAGAGGGAGAGAGGGAGAGGGGGGGAGAGAGAGAGAGAGAGGGGGAGAGAGAGAGAGAGAGAGAGAGAGAGAGAAAGAGAGAGTAGCGCTCTACACCGTCGCGTACACTCGAGGAATCGTCTGATCACTGATTAGTCTCACGTTTCGATCAATGAGATCTCCCGTCGCTCCTCGACACCGTTCGCAGATCGAGTCTCTTTTTCTCTTCTCTCCTGCTATTTTCCTTTTCTCTTATAGAGTTCGCCGTCACTTCGTTTCACACTTGCGGCCCCGTGATTATCACCTGCGTTCACGATCACTGTTACGAAACACCGGATATCGTTCACGAGCCGGCTTTTGCTCGCGGTCGCGATGACTCGCGCGACTGCAGACGTTCGGGAGGCTCGCCCCGGCGGTCGCACAGCGACCTCGCGCACCTTTGCTCCTCCGGAGAGAAGGACACACGCTGCTTTTCGTTCCAGAGAAGCGACGCTTGCACACGTCGTCACAGCACTAACTACGGATTATAACATTGCCACAATCGGGAACTCGCGCACTGCGATTCACGCCCGGCACCTTGCGTCGCCGCCGCCGCCGCCGACGATCTCGATCCCCGCCGCATCGGGGATCCCCCATCCTTTCTCTTTCTGTCTAGTACGGCCTCCACACGTCGTTCCTCTGCTCGCTCTCCTCACCGAGCACGCCGATCTCTCGGATGCTGCTGATGGTGAGATTGCTGCCGGCTATGGTGACCTGCTCTTCGCTGATGTCGCCGTGCAGGTGCAGGTGTATCTGGTTTTGATTCACGGTGCTGTACAGTTGAGGGTAGAGGACCATGGGCGGCGGGCTGATGTAGTTCTGACCCGGATTGTTGTAGTAGCCCTGATAATTGGGGTTGTAATTGTGGGAAGCTACCGGGACCGGAGTGGCGGGGCCAGGTGTCCACGAGCCGTAGTGGTAACCTGGGCTACCGCTGCCCGTGCCGCCCCCGGCGAAGATGTCGGGGTCGCTGGGCCTGGCGCTGGCCGGCACCAAGGGTAAGGACGTCGGCGAGGTGCCGTGTCCCGAATACATGGACATGCAGTTTGGCGTGTAGGTGTCCTGCTGATTCTCCGAGGGCAGAACTGCAAGAAGAACACAACGGTCCGATTGTGCCGATTCGCCGCCGAGCCTTCGACGTGTTACGACTGTCGAGCTCTTACAGTAAGCAAAAGGGACAAATTCCTAGCGAATGCATCTTGCGAATTGTAGCCACAAAGTAATCCGTCCGGGAATTTCGTGATTCTCGTGATTTCTCGTGATCCTCTTTGGGAGATCTTTTTTTAAATCGGCGCGCGGGGCCAGAGGCGTTCCGGTAATTTCCATCTGCACGATTAATTACCGGCGGAAGACGACGCGTCGCCTCCGTCGACGCGAGCTGCAATATCATTTCCCGGGTAAACGAGAAACGGGACGAGCGCACGCGAGGCGACGCGTTACGAAACCTGTTTTCCTCGTACGAGTCTATGCGTCACGGAATGTTATTAAATCGTCGTAGGTGTTTCTCAATTAGCGGCGCGCGCCGTTCGGATTAGCAGCTACGTAAGCGTGTTCTATCCTATTCTTTTTATCGCCTCATTGCCACTACGTGATCGTACCGGTTGGCAGCGGCACCGGTTCCGTCGTGGGATGATGCGACAATGATTCCCCGGGATACGAGAACGCGCCGCCGGGCAGGGGCGAATAGGAACCACCGCTGCTGACTGGAGGCGCAGGATAAGACGGCGCCGTGGACGGGTAAGTCCATTCCGTCGTGCCGACACCCGTGTCTGTAACAGCAAGAAAAATGATCCTTGTCCTCGGAGTCGCTCGAACGATCGCTCGCGCAGGTAAAACCCGCGCGACACGATAGAGATATCCTGCGAGAGACAGACGGACAGAGAGAGAGAGAGAGAGAGAGAGACGAAGGTTCTCCCTTCCGCCTCTCCGTTGCTTCCCGATTCAACGTCACGCATACAGAGAATCCTTCTGGTATTGTCGGTACATTCCTCGTGCATTTTCGTACGTTTGCAGGGAAGATTTACATTCACATGTCCGATTCTCATTCTGGGCGGATCCTGTCACGCGTGATCCAAGAGCGTCACGTGGCGGCCGGGCGTCGCAAAGCGCGCTTGTTAAAATGCGCAGCAAATCGCATGAGTCGGTAACGGTGTTTCGAGTGAGTAACACCGGCAGATTAATTGACATGAGTCACAAGTATAGTAGCGGCCACGGCGGAAGTTCGAAGGCGCGCTCATTGGAGGTGAACGTATGTGTGATGCGCGTGAGAAGCTTGTCTCGCGACGCGCGTGTGAAACATCCGTGAAATGTCGCGTCCCGTCGCGACGAGATCGGGATTATCGAATCGATCGTGACGATCGATTGCGCAAGAGTAAGCGAGCAGGTAAAAGCGCGTGTGCGGTCGAGCACGCGGCGAGCCCGCCCTCGCGACTCCTAAAATCCTACCTCTCTCCCGGATCTTCTTTCTTGCGCAAGTGGATTTCGTCGTCGCGCCATTTGATTTATGAAAATGTTCTCGTATATATTTCTTCCTCTCGTCCCGATAGGAATCTTCTTGCCGTGCCGAGCCTTATAATTGCAAACTCACGCCATGCCTTCTCTCTCGATCTTCCCGAAGAACTCGCTTCCGCGAAAGCATCTCAAATCACGATTCCTCGCATCATCGCTCAGCTATATTTATGGGAAGTATTAGTAATATTATTTCTTATGCCTGTATTATCCCGGCGGCGAGTAGGAAATCAAAGTATCGAGACTTCTCCGGATTACGCATAGCATCATTCGGAAACGCAAGTGGAGAGAAGGAGACAACGACGATGCGTTGAATCATGCGCGATTCCAAGAAACTTTTCGGTTCCGCTGTGCCATGTATAAAGTGATGAAACATTCTTTAAATTAAAATATATGCGCATATCTTTATGTGGTTCTATTTGGGAGGAGCATTTCCGACGATTTATTGACGCTCAATTATACTTGTGTAGATCAATTCTTTTTTTTATCGTCATTTCAGATCCTTCGATCTAAATTCCTCTTTTCTATTCTTTAATTGTATTTCTCTCATTCTTAAAAGAGATCGCGTGTTGAGTCGGGCTCTTTGGATTTAATTGGACGATGATCGCTTGTATGAATAATCAAATACCGACGAGTAGAAGCGCATACGTGACGATGTGAGCGTTTCTCGAGCGGAAAAAGCTGGTGGGAAAACCGCACGGGCATTAACGATTCTCTCACGGGATGAATACGGAAACTGAAGTAAGCTAACGACAAAAATCGATTCGCACGAGAGCGCGTTTATCAGCGTCCCGCTTTTGAGAATCATCTCATTTGCGGTTATCCAGCCAGTCTCATAATTTTTGTTGACGATTCTGACGAAACGAATCAACAAGTCTGGATATTTCTACGTTTTGCCGGATGACGAAAGATAATATCAGCGGTATTTCGAAAATACCGCTCGAAGAGCTTCAGAAATCCCCGCCAGGATTCCCACGTGAAAGTTTGTCGACTCATAAGTCACGTTTCTGCGGAGATTTTTATCTGGACGAGATTTCGAAACGGGTTGCTCTGCGTGTCTATTGATAGAATTAACATTCGCGGCACGTGTTCTTCAATAATAATTATAGCCCGTCGCCGCTAACGTTTCGTCCACAGCTTCGGGGAAAATTAACGTGAAACTCATCGGAATTACCTCTTTCGCGTGCGAACGCCGGGGGAATTCCCTCCCTCCCCCCCCTATCTCTCTCTCTCCTTCTCCCTCTCTTTATGTATAAAATATTCCGCACGAGTCACGCGCAGTACGCAAACTGTGAGATATTATTGTCGACTACATTGCACGCGACGTTCACCTGTTCTCCCAACTTGTAAATCGTTCAATTTCTCCAGACTGAACACAGCTCTCAGATGGAAACGCGCGGGCTCGGGCGATCCGAGTCATTGACACGCGCAACGATGAGAGTACAACCGATACAGTTTTGGGATATCGTTCAAACAGCCAAGCTCGACCCACCACGAGGTGAGGTCGAGGTCGGAACCGCGCGGTCCCCGGGCAAAACTGTCGTTACGCCTACCAAGCGGAAGGTCGAGGTCGTTTCGGAATTCTCAAAGGGGACCGCCGTGGCAGGACGACCAAGCGAAGCGGGAGGTGCACGGGGTGATTACCGAAAATGGCCGTGTATTTGCCGCAATTACCGGAACAACGGTAACAAAACAAAGGCACACACCATCACTCCGCGGATCGGTGCCGGCAGGACCATCTGTTGGATAATAGTCCGTTTCTCCCGAACGGTCCCCGCTCTATGAGAGGACGAGCGAGAAAAAGGAAAGCAGCGTTCGATTCCATTCAGGAGAGAAGGATCGCTTTTTTGTCCTTCTCGTCGTCGACGTCTTCTTCTTCTTCTTCTTCTTCTTCTCCTCCTTCTTCTTCATCTTCTTCTTCTTCTTCTTCGTTGCCCAGCGATGGTTTATTAGCGCGGTGATCATACGTGCTGGACTTTTTAGAGAGTCTCGGATGTGGACGCGGCACGTTCCAATTAACGCTATTCCGTATACAATGCGGCTAAATGTATTCTTTTCTACGCTTCTTTCAAGCCCCACCTCTGCCACAGACTGCCGTTACAACGACGTAATAGGTGATAGGTTCGACCTAATCACCGAGATTCCGGAGTTCCAATTCGGGAAATACGGTAATCGCATTGGTGAGAGTATTAGACTTTACGGCCTGAACAAACGCACGCTATCAGTCATGAAAAAAATTCCACGGGGCAGCGATGTTATTGATGATATATCTCGGCGGGTTCGAATATTTATCGTATTATAAATGAAACCACAGAGAAAAGTTAGGCGCGGTTTAGCTGCGCGTCATCGGTATCTTCGGCGCTCATCTGTGCATCGATAATGATTGTGCTCGCTTCTTCGCTCCGTCCGCTTCACCTCTAGCTCGATGGCCCGACCGCGCGACACTCAGGATCTGTATCGTCGAAGAACGTAATGTCCGGTGACAAGAGCAGAGGCAAACAAGTCGGAAGCGGCCACGATCGTTATCCGTTAATAATGTAACAATCAATGCCACGCTTCTCTATTTTGTCGGTCGCCGTGCTCGCCACGGCATTCATCGCGCAGCTGACCATCATCGTCACGCCAATGCTCGCGCCGTCGCTGGGTGACCGATTCTCAGGAGGCTTCTTCTCCCTCTTCTTCAAGGATCGCTGCAGCCGTCGTCGCCGAAAGAACGCGCGACTTCTGGCCGAAGAAACTCCAAGTTGTTTACTGCTATTCTCTCTCTCTCTCTCCCACATTTTGTCTTATCCTCTCACTCACTCATTCTCTCTCTCTCTCTCTCTCTCTCTCTCTCTCTCTCTCTCTCACTCCGCGGGTGTGAAACCACAGTGAGGTGGTTTTGGTGCTTAGTCCCCCGACCAGCCATCTACTTAACGAACCGTCCATCGACCGCCGTCATTTCGTCGTTTCTCGGTTTCCCTCCCATCTAGCCGCCACCCCCGCTCTTCTCCCCTCCCCGTTCCGCCACCCGCCCCCTTTGGCCGGTGCTACCGCTATCCAGCGGTTCGATCGACCTCATCTTCTCGCTACCGACACTTAAGATCGTTCAGGTATTTCTTCTCCGCGCGGAGAAAAGGAAGCCGGCCGAGGCGATCGTGACTGCCGACCTTGATGCGACTCCCGCGAGTCGCGCGCACAGTTGCAGAAGTTGCAGGGCGGGAGCGCGTTTTGATATTAAATCGTCGCGGTCACCTTTCAACCGGTGCGACGGCGACGTTGCGACACGCGAGTCGAGTCATCCTGTCTCGGGGCCGTCGTTCTCGAGCCGCTGAATAATTAGCCGGTCGAAACGCAATTGGGATGATCGTACGGGACGCGTGGTGGTAATATATAGTTAGTTGCGCAAACAGCTGCGCGATTTGCAATCGCAGGCACAACGGCGGATGCAAATTGGCACTTTTTCCTGATCACCGAAGTCGAGCTGGCCGGCTCCGGGGGTTTTCCTATACGTCGACGACGAAGACGTCTTTCCTCCAAGCTGAACGACGCTCGTGATCAAGGCTGGAGAGGCGCGACGCGTTCTCGCGGCGAGTTCGACGCGCCTTCGAGCGAACGTCGGTTCCACCTCGTCGACTTCGTCCTTCGCCGATCGGCCGATCGACGTGGCGTGCGCAGGATTCAGAGGATCCCGAGATCATAGCCGTTAAGAAGAAGAACTCAAGAAGCCGTGGGGCTTCGGTTCCCACCGAGATAGATGCTCGCTCGGTCGTGTAATGTAAGTCGATATTGCCGCGTCGTCTCGATATACCCCGTCGTCGGGCCCCCGCGCGCACGTCTATATACGCGATCGATATATGTGCCGGTCGATACCGGGGGCTCATAAACCGGCATAACGTACGAGAACGAGAGAAGTCTTACGCATACGAGCGCGCCCAGGAAACTCGCGCGTATCGCTTACCATCAACGATTTCTTCTTATACCGAGTATCCTGTCTCGAGGATAGTGTTTCTCATCGGAGACGACGAGATCTCGGCGAAGGGTCCCTTGTTGTCCGTCTGTCTGTCGCCGCTTTCATCTCTCATGTCCCATCGAGAGAGAGAGAGAAAAAAGAGAGATAGACACAGACAGACAGAGAGAGAGAGAGAGAGAGAGAGAGAGAGAGAGAGAGAGAGGGGAGGGGGAGAGATACGTAAAGTCCGCGATGTATTTGCGTGGACGTGAAATTTTCCGCATGCGTTCGTGACATTTCTCGCACTGCGCTGTCGGCGAGAGAAAAGAC